ACAATAATAAATTGGTCGTTTTCAATCCACGACTGTTTGTGGGACATTGCTGTGCGCAATTGGCTGCTGCGTTTGCCCACAAATATACAGTCAATTCACTTTACAGTATATTCTGTGAAACGCTTTGGGACGTCTAGAAGACGTGAAAAGCGCTATATCAAATGCAAGGATTATTATTATTATAGGGTGGAAGGGGGAGGGGAAAAATGGGCATGAAGATGGCCAGGGTTCGCTGAGCAAAGGGAGCTGCCAGGTTGGTGAATTTTTTAGGAGTTTACAGAGATAGGATGAGACAAGACCGTGAAAGGATTTGAGAGTGAGAACGAGGATCGTGAACTAGATCCACTGGAGGAATGGGGAGCCAATGGACCTAAGCAAGGATGGAGGTCATAGAATCACAGAGCCTGGTGTGGGAGAGGAGGACTGCAGAGTACCACAAAAGGTGCAGGCAATAGTTCCAAAATTACTGCACCAAATATTATGTTTTCTCTCAATAATAATAATAATCCTTGGATTTGATATAGCGCCTTATCACGTCTTCAAGATGTCTTCAAGCACTTCATAGAATATACCGAAAAGCAAATTGACTATATATTTTGCGGGCAAAATGCGGCAACCAATTGCGCACAGTCGTGGATTGAGTGACCATATTTTTTCATGAATTTTTTTTTGAAGAGATTATTACCCCCGTAAAAGCAATCCGCCAATCGACTAACAACCGGATTTCTATTTACTGCTCGGTAAACAGAGGTGTGTGGAGTAAGGAAACTACTTGCCCTCTCCACGAATTTGACCTGAAGTCCACTCGCTTGCGCGACGAGCTCTCTAGCCATTGAGCTACAGGACTCCACAATTTATATGCCACACAATGATATAATATTTACATTTGATGTTGCACCCTATCACATAATTGAGACATATCAAAGAGCTTCACAGGAATTACTGTAATGTGTAGTAAATGTGTCTTTGCAGGTGAACAGCAGTCAATTTGTGCACATCAATGGCTCACAAACAGTCATGAAGTGAATGACTAATTGTGGGTCAGTGACCCTTTATTTCATGCATTGGTATAATTTTATCTTTGCCACTACTTTGGGTTTGTTCCTCAACTATGGTTTCAGTTTTTCCCATTTGCGTAAATGATAAATGATTACTGGGGAGATCACAATTTAATACTCTTTACAGATTTGGGGCAATCTACTTCCGAAAGCGCAGTCAACTCTTGCAATTTCAGTATGGGTGCTGATGGAAATTAAACCACCTGATAATTTTCCAAACTAAATGTGTATATTTTGGTTTTGTTCTTCAATGGTGAAAGACCAGTAAAGAGTGATGACTCTTTAAGCTCTCCGGGATGCTATCTCGCGTGAAGGGCACTATATAAATGCAAGTTGTTGTTGTTTGTTGTTGACTCTATGGAGCATCTTGCAAGGCTGGAGAAAACACAACTGGGAGGAAACAAGATCAATGTCTTTAAAATACTGAAAGAAATAGGTGATGTAGGTAGATGCTCTATTGTAACTGCAGAAAGAACATTGGTATTATTATTATTATTATAGGAATAGATGCAGACTGAGATGCGCAAATACTCCAGATTATGGGACATAATGGCTTCTGTCTTGACGTAAGGAACTGGCTGGGTCAAATATAGTGATGGTGGGGGAGAGGGATTGATGCAAATTCTATGATTTTTTAAAATTGTCTTTGGGAAACAAAAGTAGCCAAACTTTCCCCTAGGATAGGAACATGAAACAGAAAGAAGAGAAGCCCAATCAGTTTATCAGATCTTGGAAGATCTTTTTAACCCAATTCGCTGCTCTATCGCCATCCCCCTTAATACCTGTTACCCAGGTATATCAGTCTCTATTTTAAATATTTCTATTCCTTCCGTCTCTACAGCTTTCTGGGGAAGAACGTTCCACAACTTCAAAACCCTCAGTGTGAAGAAATGCTTCCTTACTTCAGTTCTAACTATCTTAATCCTGATTTTAATGCTATGTTCCTTTGTAATGATTCCACTATCAAAGGGAAGAATCGTCCACTATCTAACCTATCAATTCCTTTCATTATTTAAATACCTAGACCTCCTATGTTTTAAGAAATTTAACTCCAGTCTACCAACCTTTCATCGCAGTTAAGTCTCCTCAGTGTTGACATTAATCTGGTGAACAATGGAGAGAAGGGGATATTGAGTCCACAATAGGCTCTGGGACATAAGTTATGTGTGATACGTTGATGTAGTGGCCTTGATGGCCACGCTTCCCTAATGTTAAATATTGTTCTCACTTTCTGGAATAAGCACGCCATTTAGCACCAGGAGCTTTAATCTAATATTCTTTTACATTTTAGAAAATCATCCAATCCTTGTTTTTGTATTGTTATGACCTAAGAGATTCATAATTGTTTTTCAGCAGAAGTTTGCAACTACTGTAGAAAATATGATGACTAAATATCACTGCATGAATTTGCATTTGATTAGTACAATACTGTAGAAGCTGTT